TTGCTCCCCGCCAAATTACCAGTTGCCTTAGGTCTTTATTGCTCAGTGATATCTCCTGTTTCAGTATATAAGTCTGCTTTCTCTCAGCACGTTCCTAAGAACCCTGACAGTCAATTTCAGCTGTTATCAGACTCGACCCCAAACAGAGTTTTTAGTATAAACACCCCTCCCCGCACCCAAACACATTTCAGCTTTGATGCTTGGAAACTTACTGCCGTTTGAAACGTCCCTTTGTTTCCTGTAGTTTCTTGTTGATTCTCATCTTTCAATCGTCCTGTCAGGCAAAATGTACCTACGGACCAAAACGACCCAGCCAGTAAGTACTCCCATGCTACTCTAGCTTTTCTAGGTTGAAGAACAAGCTCCTCAAATATTAAAATATGGTCAACTTCCTAATAGTTTTGTTTGGCCTTTTAAATGCTCCTTGAAGACTGTCCCGTCAGTAGGCTTGTTTGCTCCTCCAAAAGTTCTTAGCTTGCTCCATTAGGCACGTTCAAGAGAGCTCAGTACAGACATCTGGTTCTGAGACCATTATCATCATGCCTAAAAACTGCTCACATGAGGCAGGGGCATATTCTTATCTCTCATGTGACAGATGGAGAGTTGAGACACCAAGAGATGAGGGGACTTGCCCAAGATCACAAGCGACTCTGCAAACAGAACCAGATGCCGGGAGTCCCAATCTAATGCTTTAGCCAAAAGACTTTTCCTTCTCCCATCTGAGCTGGTCTTTGATTTCTCACACAGTCCTGTGGCCCATTTGCACTCCTCTGCGCTAGATATGCTCAGAGGGAGCAGCCCTTTCCCTCGATAATGCCCGTGTGCCACCTTGATATTGCTCTAGGTGCCATAGGCTCTGTCTCTTCTGAAGGTCGAGCAGTGGTCACGTGTGTGCAAGTTGTGTCTTTTGTCCCGGGTGGAGGGGGTATCCAAGAGGTGTATGTTTTAAATCTTTTATCTATCGGGGCCACTGACGCACAGAAAAAAGTCAATCGCAGGCCACCCCCAGCCTCGCAGGAGACTGGGAATGGGGCCAGAAACGAGAGATTCAGAGTGGGGGAGGGGTCTTTGGGCTGGGGCCGAGAGTGAGGGTGCAGGAGGGGGTGAGGACTCCGGATGGGGATGTGGCTCTGGGCTGGGGGCAAAGGAGCTGGAGTGTGGGAATGGGCTCAGGGCTAGGGCAGAGGGTTGAGGTGTGGATTTGGGGTCTGGGAATGGCGTTAGGGTGCGGGAGGGGGTTCCGACCTGGGGCAGGGTTTCGAGGTGCAGGCGCTTACCTGAGGCAATTCCCAGTCAGGAACGCAGCGAGGCTAAGGCAGGCTCCCTGCCTGTCCTGGTCCCATGCGGCTCCTGGAAGCAGCCACCACATCCAAGGGGTCAAGTGGCTCTGCGTGGCATGTGCTGCCCACATCCATAGGCGCTGCCCCAGCAGCTCCCATTGGCCATGCTTCCATGCAGAGTCGGTTCTGGGAGTGGGAGCAGGGTTCATCGCCAAACTTTCCTGACCTCTCTTGCACCTAGAGGGCTGCAAAGACAAACCGGGGTTTCTGGCACAGTGTGGAGCTTTGCTGGGGTCTGGATAAAATTAAGGGCGGCCCAGATCTGGCCCATGGACTAGAAGTTCCTCACCCCTGTTTTAAATATTGAAAATGTTGCCCAGCAGATCATATTCCAGCCAGAATTGTCAGCTTTGAGCCCTGGCCCTAAATCACCCCTGAATCCCAAATCCTAGCTCAGAGTTGGACAGGACACGCTCAGCCTCTTTCTGGTGTGGAGTGAGAAGCATCCATGAGCACTGATCCCATATTAGCAGCATCACTGTCTCTGACCCTCCTGCTGACAGCTCAGGTGAGTGGGCAAATAAAGAACAGCCCCTTCCCCAATATTCCCTCTGAACTTCCCCACCAATGTGCTGATCCAACAAAGCGCTAATCATCAATGCTGTGGGGTGTCAGTGGAATTACCCATGTGCTTAAAGTGAAGAACAAGCTTTGAGACTCTAGACTCTTATCTCCTTCTATATAAAAATAAGTTTTTCCTGCCGGACAACAGAATGTTCCTGCCGGGCAACCCAATGATGTCATCATCCTCAACAGGTTCTCTCAGCAAAGCAAAAGCGGCCAGAGGGGGTTGGGGGTGGCATTAGGTGAGTATAGCAAGCTGAGGGCACAGCCCCCTAGTTTCTCTAAAAGTTCCCTATTGAGGAAATCATGCACAGGCAAGACAGAGTAGACCCCTGCATTTATATCTGTCACTCTTTAGCAGGACACTGAGGCTTTGTCTACACTACAAGGTTTTTGCGGCAGAGTGTATGCTAATGACGGACTCATTAGCATGAATCGTGATGTCATTAGCATATTTTCTGCTGATGCTTTTTGCGCAAAAAGAAGCAGTGTAGCCGCTTCTGTTTTGTGCAAAAAAAAAAAACCCAACCCTTTTGCATAAGGCTTTTGTGCAAAAGGATTTTTTTGCGCAAAATCATCAGACCTCATTGCTGGGTGGGGAGAGGAATCTGTTCTTACAGAACTACGGAGCAGCAAAACAAACCCAGATATCAGTGCCAAAATCACACAGGGCCTGGAGGGGAAAGGATACACCCGGAACACCCAGTAGCGCCACGTGACAAAGAAGCTCAGGCAGGCGTACCAGAAAACAAAGGAGGCAAATGGATGGTCTGGGTCAGCACCCCAACCATGTCACTTCTATGAGCAGCTGCATGGGATTCTAGGGGAGACCAGACCATTTTCCTAACCCAATCCATAGATTCCTCCCGAGACACTCCTCCTGCAGCCTCGGGCAACAGCAGGGATGACAGCGTGGATGAGGGAGAGGAGGAGGTGGAAAATGGTCAACAAGTGACCTCACTGAGAGCCAGGACTGTTTTTTTTAACTTTAGAGCCAATCTCCTCCCCGCAGGATGTCTCACTCCTGAGCCCTGACGCTGGGAAGGCACTTCTGCTGAGTTTACATTTTTAATTATGCTACATGTGGGTTAAAACAATTGAGTGTGGTCTGTGGCCAGCAAGCTGCCTACATAGTGGGGACACCCCAGAGCATTTCTGCTGTGTCAAGCCCCAGTGGCCTAATGGATAAGGCACTGGCCTCCTAAGCCAGGGATTGTGGGTTCAAGTCCCATCTGGGGTGAAAATTCCTTTTATAGACAGGATACTGGACTAGATGGACAGGGCCGTTGTTATGAGGCAGAATCGTCTTCGCACATCTCCATAAAGCTCTCATAAAGGAACTCTTTCGTCCTTCTCACAAAGTTTCTAGGGAGGTCAGTCTTATTCTGTCCTTCTTGGTTGAACAAGCCAAGCCAGAAGGAAATGGTCTAGCATCATTGAAGCACAAAGCATTGCAACATAAGGCCCACGTGTCTGGCCACATCCAGTCAGCCTCTACTCCCTATCACTCTGTGTGATCTGGAGAAGGTATTTGGGGTCTGGACTCCATGACCTCCTGAGGTCTCTTCCAGCCCTATGATTCTATGATACCATGCATGGCAACCTGGATGAAGCAGGGGAAGCTGTGTAACTATATATCACAGCAGTACACCTCCATCTGCCCGTCCCCAACAATGCATGCATGGCTTGAGCCCCTGCCATGCCACTACGTCCAAGAACCCCTCCATCTCCTGCCTGCAGGCTCCTAGGTGTGCATGTGCCTCTGCACTTCCTCCATGCCCAGACCCTCTCCCCCTCCTGCCTGCATGCTCCTGTGGGAAGGGAAAGTTGCATTCTCCCGGCAAACTGAGGGTGCGGAACGCACGATCACTTCTGGAGTCCCTGCCCTGCTGCCACACCTCCATGGCCCCTTTTACAAACACAGACACTTGCCTAGCTGTGGGAGCTGCTATTTGCAAGCACGGCGTCACAGATGCTTTCAAAGTGGAAGCAAAAGAGCAAGCCCCCATCTGTCCCTTACCATGCGTGACACCAAACAGTCCAGCTGCTCCCTTAAGGTCTCTATGGTCTAACTGCTGCATAGCGGGTGCTTAAAAGCATTCCTGTGGCCTTGTACATAGCACGTGCCTATTGTCTTGGACAGCCCTTCCTTTATGTGATGAGATTAGGTTCTACACTGCACAGTGTGTCTCCTGTAAAGTCTGCCCTTCAGTTTTTGTTACAGTGGGTGCAACAGCAAGCCTTTTGCCCTCTCCTCCTGGGTCCAGCTCCTCCAGCTGTTTGGCTATCCCAGATCTGAAGGCAAAAACATACTAGGGATGACATGTTCAATGAGCAAATGCAATCCGCCTGCTTGGCCAGGGTGCAATTCAATGAGTGGGGGAGAGCGCTGCTGCAGGAGATGCTAGCGGGGTGTGAAGACAGGACAGCATGCAGGGAATGCAAAATGAACACAGAGGAGACTGTCCTGAGGATCTTGGCAGTGCTGGTGATGGGCCTGGTAGACTCACAGGAGTGTCAGATCCACAGACACCCACTCCGGCTCAGACTCCATATGCCCTCCTCATCCCATTCCATAGCCTCCTCGGCCAGGTACCCTAGAACATGGGGAGTAATGGGAATTTAAGGGCAGCCTCACACTGATCCCCCAGGGATGTCGCCCAGAACAAACGGCTGTCCTTCTCATACCTGGATGATTGCTGTACATGGAGACTGGCACCACTTTCCCTTCCCCACTCCAAAGCTCCCACCCTGAACTCCCTTTCTGTCCCTGCTTCCTTAAATAAAAACACATGATTCCTCAGCAACATTATCTTTACTCCTTGTGTTGCATGGAGGCTGGGAGTTTACTGGCAAACACACTTAATGCAGGGGGGACTTCACTAAAAGCAACAAGAATGACTGTCATATTGCTGCCTGGTCAGTCAAAGTTGTTTGTCAAAGCTTCTCTCATTTTCAGTGTCCCTTGCTCTTTCGAAAGAGAGTGTCTAGACTGCACGTTGAACTTTCGAAAAAGCGGCTTGCTTTTTTGAAAGAAAGCATCCAGTGAGTCTGGATGCTCTCTTTTGAAGAAGCCCTATTTACATTGAAGAACGCCTTCTTTCGAAAGAGGAACTTTCGAAAGAAGGCGTTCTTCCTCGTGAAATGAGGTTTACCGCCATCGAAAGAAAAGCCGCGTTCTTTCGATTTAATTTCGAAAGAACGCGGCTTGAGTCTGGACGCAGGGGAAGTTTTTTCGGAAAAAGGCTACTTTTCCCGAAAAAAACCCTGAGTCTGGACACAGCCTTGATGTGTTCTCCTTATTGCTCTGGTGTCTGGCTGCTCAAAATTAGTGGCTAGATTCTGTGCCTCAACCTCCCATCCAGGCATACAAATTTCTCCCTTAGTTTCATAGATATTGCGAAGCACACAACAGGCTGCCACAACAATAGGAACGTTGCTTTTGTTGAGGTCTAACCTAGTCAATAAATTGTGAAATCTTTCCTTTAAATGCCCTAAAAGCACATTCTGCACTTGCTCAGACTGTAGTTGAAATGCTCCTTGCTGCAGTCCAGGCTGCCTGGGTAGGGCTTCATGAGCCATGGGAGCAAGGAGGAGGCTGAGTCGTGAAGGATGACTATCACATTTCAACACCTCCAATGTTAATTTTCAGGTCTGGGAAGAAAGTTCCATCATGCATTCCGAACAGACTGGAGTTCCTAAAGATGTGCTCTTCATTGTGCACTTTTCACGGCCATCCCACGTTGATGTCAGTGAAATGGCCCTTGTGATCCACCTGCACCTGCACCACCATCTAGAACAGTGCTTCCCAAACTTTTTGGCATCACGTCCCCTTTTAGATTTTTGAGAAACCCTCACACCCTCCCCAAGAAAAAGCAGTAAAACTTGTCGAGCAAAAAAAAAAAAAAGTTGCCCTTTTAAGGCAGCCATTTTGAACTCTGCCCGGATGCTCCGTCCTCACCCCTCCCCAGCCAGCCCAAGCTGCACATGTTCTGGTGGACGCTTGAGCCAGGAAAAACAGAAAATACCAGATATTTCACATGGTATTTTCTGAATTTTTTTACTGGATGGACTGGGTTCTTTCTTGGACCTCGTGCCCCTCCCCCAGGAATTTCTTCACGTTCCCCAGTTTAGGAACCTATGATCTAGAAGCACCCCTTGTGGTTTATGTATTCTTTGGTAAGGTGGTTGGGTTCCAAGATAGGGATGTGCGTTCCATCCTAGCACCCCATCACAGTTAAGGAACCCCATTGTGGCAAAGCTCTCCACTTTGTCCTGCACATTTCCCAGAGACACTACCCTTCATTGCAAAGAGTACTGATTGCCTTGGCTACTTGGAGCATAGCAGCTCCCATTAGAGATTTAGCCACTCAAAACTGATTCCTAACTGACTGGCAGCTATCTGGCATTACGAGTTCCCACTGGGCTATTGCCACTCACTTTTCCACTGTCAGAGCAGGTCTCACTTTGGTATTGCTGCACTTCAGGGTGAGGGAAAGCAATTTGCAATGTTCCACGAAAGCGACCTTATGTGTGCCAAAGTTTTGCCACCACTGCTGGTTGTCCCATAGCTGCATCTCTATGCGGTCCCACCAGTCTGTGCTTGTCTAATGGCACCAGA